GACTATGTTTCACATTTAGATACAAATGTTTTGCTTTTTTCATTATCATTGCTTTCATCGGAAGAGCCTAGATCTGAATTAGAGCTGTCATTTTGTACATCTGAAAGTATTATTATATATTCATATTATTGTTATTTGATACATTTGAAAAATTGTATTTTTTATCAATCTTATCTTACTTGAACTCTGAAGTGTATATTTTATTTCATCATCATCGTCGGCGCTGTCTTCAACGAGAAAAGGTTCATTTCCTTTTTCGTCAGTAAATTCTACATCCGAATAATCAGTAATCTCTTCATGCTCACTAATACTCTCTTCGTCACTAGAATTATCAATTATCAATTGTTTGGCTTGCTCTAAAGTAAATCTTTCAGAATACGCCATTTTAGCTGATTGTTTGAAAAAAAAGTGTTGAACTGCTTATTGCCAAAGATTTGAAAAGTTTGACATTAATTTTTTATAGTTGATGATAATACAATCGAATAAAAATAGTAACATAAAATTTAATTGTTCTCCATTACATTCATAAAGTTTTAAATATTTAAAAAAGTGTATTTAATTTGGGGTAAAAATCAACCCCAATCGTCCTAGGTGCTATATGCATTCAAAACTGCCCTCTAGCGTTATTTTTTTATCAAATTTTAGTTTTAAAATAAGAGAAGAGATGATTTTAGGAAAAGTCATAAAAAGAGAGCCCAAGCTTTTGCGTAGTTTTCTTTTTTCATGCTTAGAAAGTAGCTCTGGGGTAGAAATCTACCCCAGCCGTCATCGCAGGGTTAAACATTAATGCCGAAACGGAAATTAGAACTGATGAACTCGAAAAAGATGAAAACGATCACAACGTAGGCGAAGATTGCGAACGCGAGGTTTGTAGAAATGATTGTGATGATGGCGTTGATAAATATGAATATGATCTTAAAAAAGTGAATGAATTTGATGACGATACGCAACGCGAAGACGACAACAACGATGATGATAATCCTAGCAATAGTGTTAGATATAACCATAACATTAGTGTTGGTAGTGTTAGTCGCGATAGATTAACTGATGATATAAGTAATAACGATAGTAATTCAAACCAGAGTATATTAAAAAGAGTCGGAAATGTTGCTGTAACCAACGTTGACGATGATGATGATAACCGATGTCTAGATATAGAACATGTAGTTCGACCAACTGACAACGACAATGAAAAAGAGAGATCGGCAAGCTCCGAAGAATTATCAAAAATTATCAAATTATCAAAGAATTATTAAACTGTCCGTCTTTGATCAAATGCTGGTCGTGGGCAAAAGAAGGTAGAAAGAATATTTTTTTTATCAAAGACAACATCCTTTACCATCAGGACAAATTGCTGGGGCATAAAATAATTCAGTTGTGTCTGCCGGACGGTAGGATCTCAACAGTTTTGGAGATGGAACATGACGCGCCCTTTGCAGGCCATATGGCAGTTAAAAACACAAGATATCGCATTATACTCAATTTTTGGTTTCCGGAAATGGATAAAAAAAATCAAGGAATATTGTCAGTGTTCGATTTGTCAGTTGCGGTCACCAATCAAAATAGCGCACAGGGTTTCTATCACATCCAAACCAAGAGATGAAGAATTTACACATTTAATAATGGACTGTATTTGGCCTATATTTCCACCAGATGAGACAAAGCGCAGGGCAACCGATTATAACTACGCGTTAGTCGTTGTTGATAAATTTTCCAGATGGCCAATGGCATACCCATTAAGAACGTTAAAGGCCACAGCCATCTGCGATGCGTTGTTACAAGTATTTATGTCATTCTCAGTACCTCGTGTGATTAGTTCGGATCGTGGAACTAATTTTACAAGTTTATTACTCTAGGAATTTTTAAAAGATTTGGGTGTAGCCCGCGCCTTAATTCACTTGGTCATCCAGAAGCAGCGGGTTTGGTTGAAAGATGCAACCAAACTCTTGACGATAATATTTGAACTTGCTCAACAAAATCCAAGAGATTGGCATAAATTGTTACCATTTATTTTATGGAGCTTGAGAGAAGTACCCTCTTCAACTACCCACATTAGTCTGTACACGTTAGTTTATGGAACTATTCCCAGAGGACCCTTGTCTATACTTAAAGAGTCATGGAGTGGTGAAAGGTCTTTACCATTGAATATTGGAAGAAAACCCGAAGACTATTTAAAAAAATTAAAGGAAAATTTAGATTTTGCAAAGGCGTACGCAGAATAATATTCAGAGTTCAAACAAGGAAGATATGCTAATCATTACAACTTACAAAGTATAAATGGACATACCAAATTGGAGATAAAGTCGCCGTATTAACTACAAATCCTAGTGAAGCAAAATCATGCAACCGCTGGCAAGGCCCAGGAGTAATTATAAAAGTAAAGTCTCCATATTTTTACATTGTTGAAATTGATGGAAAACAACAACACCTTCATGCGAATAAAATTAAAGGCTATCATGAAAGAATTCAACAAGTCTTGGTAACTAGTTGCTCCATTGTAGGAGAAAAGGACGAAGAGTTAGGCGAAATAAAAACATTCGAAAACACGAGTTCAAATGATAGCAATTTAAATAACGTTACAGAATTAGGTCATTTATCCACGAATCAATAAAACGAAATTAGCAAGGTAATATTATCTCATCGAAGGACTTTTTCTGATCAACCAGGAAAATGTAACATCATTGAACAAGAAATTATCTTGCTACCTGGATTTAAAACAAAACAAATGAGACCGTACAAAATACCTGAGTTGCTGAAGCAATCTGTAAAAACTCAAATTCTAGAAATGCTGGAAAATGAAATTATTGTGCCTATCAAAAAGCGAGATGGTTAGCCCTATGGTCTGCGTTCTAGAGAACTCAGGGGGAGTGAGACTGGCTATAGATTATCGATATTTAAATAAATTTTCCGTTGCAGACTGTTTTCCAAATTCAGATATTTTTGATTTATTGCAAAAAGTTGGAAAGGCTATATATATAAGTTGTTTCGATGCAAAGGTTGGTTATTGGCAGATACCTATGAAACCGGAATCACAGTGGCTTACTGCCTTCGTTTAAACAGAAGAAGGCGTGTTCAAATTCACACGAATGCCATTCGGGCTTAAATCCGCGGGTAACACGTTTGTACGAGGGATAAAATATATACTCAGGAACATTAGAAAATTTGCAGAACCATTCATAGATGACGTCGAAATATTTTCAGATAAATGGGAGGATCACGTCCGCCATTTGGATCAATTTTGGGGTGAAATTCGGAAAGTGGGGTTAACGTTTAATATAACAAAAACCACGTTTGCTCAGAGTAAGGTAAAATTTGTAGGACACATTATCGGGTCAGGACTTATAGAATCAGACCTAAGCAAATTAGAAGGGCTAGAAAAAAATTAAACCACCAACCACAAAAAAGGACCTCAGGAAGATGATTGGATTCTTCAGCTACTTTCGCAGTTTCCCCCGATGTTGGCGGAGACGATGAATGTTATCACCGATCTCACCCGTAAAAATGCCCCAAGTAGGGTTCAATGGGGAAGTATGCAGCAAAAAGCTTTCGATATAATTAAGCAACAATTGATGAGTGTCACAGCTTTGAACACGATCGATTATTCAAAAGAATTTGGTGTATATGTGGACGCTAGTGCAGTAGCGGTAGGAGGTTGTCTAGTACAATGGTCGGATAATCGAAAGGAGTTACCTATCGCCTTTGCTAGCAAAAAATTATTATCAACTCAGACAAGATGGTTGACGATCGAAAGGTAGGCATATGCCGTCACTTGGATGCTAGAGAAGTTTCGACCGTGGATCTGTTTGTCCAAAATAATTGTGTTTTCAGACCACAATCCATTAAATTACCTGACAGAAGCAGCACCAAAAAGCGCAAAATTGACAAGATGGGCATTCAGATACCACCCAGGTAACTCAAATATCAGGGCAGATTTCTTGTCACGAAACCTACCTGAGGATAATACCATAGAGGGAAAGGAATAGGCGAGGGATGATGACATTTGTTTCCCTCGTCATCGTTTTAGGGTTGGGAGTATGTCACGGTTATTTCTTGTGTGAAAGAATATTTTTTTTAAGTTGTTTGCTATGGCATTTTTTTTGGTTTGGGCATGCCTAGGCCATATGGAGAGTGTGGCATGTTTTAGGATTAAGATAGAGTAGATATGTTAAATTGAACTAAACGATTATAATTAATTAGTTGTTTCTGGTGTTTTGTATTGAACTTTATAATTTTAATTTGATGTTAACATTTGATTTATGACATTATATAAAAGTTTCTTTTATTGATTTTGAGTTTGTATTTCAAAAGAAGTGTGAAACTAACCCGTCTCGTCGTTTGAATTATTGATTTCGTAAAAAAAACCTGACATCTGGCGCAGTCGACAGAATATTAAACAGAACTTTGCGTGATCATTATATGATATAATAATCTCGGGTAAAAGTTCGTGACAATCATCATCATTATATGTAACAAATATATCGTCAACGTATCGGCAGTATATATTAGGCTTTAACTCTGGTTCTTCCTTAAATAATATTTCTTCGATATGTCTTAGATAGAAGTTTGCGAAGAGTACTCCTAATGGAGAGCTCTTTGCACCACTGTCTATTTGCTGATATAGTGAGTTTTATGAGCCAACGAAGGGCGCTTCGGCTGTACATATTTGTAGCAGCGCCACTAATTCACTTTTGTAATTGGTAGTTATGAATAACTAGAATTGTATATTCTATCAATTGTTATGCTGATTGTGTCTTCTACAGGAACATTTTAGAGTGACTCCACATTCAAAAATGCTATTTTGGTGTTAATGGATGGTTTTGTTGTAGACAATAAGTCTATGAATTCTCTACATGATTTTAGGTTGTAGCCATTAGGGGTGTAGGGTGTAATTATTTTGTCGAGCATTTTTGCAAGGGGTACGTGATTGCATGTCTTTGGATGATTATTGGTCGCAGACGGTTGTTAGCTTTATGTGTCTTGACTGTACCGTAAGGTCCATATTCGCCCGTAAGTATGGGTGTTTTCCTTCTGTTTTCTCATTATTTCTTCTGATGATCTCATTCAACTTTGTCTTGAACTTAGCAGTAGGATCGCTACTAATCTTAATGAATTTATCATTGTCACCGAGAATGCTATTCAGTTTGTCGTTGTAATCATCTCGATCCATTATAACATACAGTGGATTTTTGTCAGCTTTTCGGATACCAATGTTGTTGCTGTTTATTAAAGTTGAAAGAACGAAAGAACGAAATGCTCGGTTTGAAAACTACATAGATCAATAATGATACCTTTTAATTATATTTTTAAAATAATCCAATAAAATTTCAGTTTTCTAAAATTTACAGATTGTTTTTATTTAGAGAAAATGACTGACAACAAACCAACATTAATTTATATTAATGAAGGAATCGTGGAACAGGAAATCGAATGTCAGATCCTTGACGAAGAAGTTAAGTTAAAAAAAAAATTTGGAGTTTTTTACGGAATGGGAGTGATCATCGGGTTAATTGTTGGCGGTGGGATATTTTTATCTCCAACGATTGTCCTTCAACACGCAGGATCGCTTCATTAAAACTTTCTTTAATTATTTGGATGTACGCTGGTTTCACGTCCGTCTTGGGAGCTCTCTGTTTTGTTGAGATTGGATTATTTTATCCCAAGGCTGGTGAAAAGTATCTTTACACTAAAAAACTCTGTGGTTCGTTCTGGGCATTGGTTTATATGTGGCTGTACATTTTAGTTTTAAGACCCGGGTTCTTAATAAAGATGAAATGATTTCATCGGAAGCTGTGGCCATTGTAAGTCATTTCTTCCAATAAGATAAATTAAATTTTAAAATCAGATTTGCATTTGCTGGAGCACGTGAAAGACACCTGCCGATCATGTTCTCATTCATGGATGTCAATCAAACTGTACCTACACGGTCCGTTATATCACAGGTGATAATTTTTTTTCGTATTGTTGACAAATTTTTCTTAAACTGTCATGCATAAGTAGTAAATGATTAATTTGTTTTCTTTAGAAAATTCAATAATTAATATTTGATATTTTTTTCAAAATTCGTA